TTATTTTTATTTTTATTCATTCATTTACTCACTCATTAATTCATTAACCCAATAAATTATTTTTGGATCAACTATTAATTAATAAATTCACTATTAATTAATTAAACAGGCCCCTGCACTAGGTTCTGAGGATTTAATCCTAGAAATAACAAGCATGATACTTGCCCTTATGTAGTTTATAGTCTAAGGAAGAAGCCAGAGAGCATACACACAATTACTTAATTATAACTATGATGAGTACAGCAATTAAAAAAATTGTTGTGTGCTTTGGAATGACTTGTGGGATATTTGATATGCTCCAAGCAAATGACATTTAAGCAGAAACTTGAAGGAGGAGTAGGAATTATCCAGACAAAGAATGGTCACAGTGTTCCCAGTTATAGTAAGTGCAAAGGCCCTGAGACTCATGCAAAGTGAGGTCAAGGGGAAGTGCTATTCAATGTATCTGATGAGGTAGAGGTCCGATTCTGCAGGGCCTTGTGTGCCATGTGAAGAATTTTGGAAAAGTTTTCTTCCCCTCAAGAACAATGGAGAGCCATGAAAGGTTTAAAATTTTAAGATGGTGGGTTATTTGATACATTAAAAATATACATATCCTATATGGAGTCAATAAAGCATAACAGTAAAAAAATCTGAGGCACTTCCCATCATGAGAGCGAGAATACCATCAGTGCCCCTGTGTCTCCCACATTCTCCTTCCACACTTTGTCTTCCTGTCTTCTTGTTGGAGGAAACCACTTAGAATTTTGTTTTTACTATTCCCCTAATTTAAAAAAAAAATTTCCCACCTGGGTATATAGCTCCAAACAACATTTTGCTTAGTTTTGCTTGCTGTAGTGTTTTGTAAAAAATGGTATCAAACTATGTTCAGTCTTCTCTGACTTGCCCCTTTTCACTCAATATTATGCGCCTTAGAATTCCTCCTGTTGTAGTGTGTAGTTGTAGCTTGTTCATGTTCAACATGTATATTTTGGCAATGGATGGATTTTAAGCAGGGCGGGGCAAAAAAATTAGTCTTGCCTTTTAATCATATCTTGCTGTGGTTGAAGTTTAGTTTGGTTGCTTTTGCTTTCTTCTTAGGGGTTCCCTTCAAGTGTAAGGAAGATGTCATACGCGACAATTTGCAGGTCCAGCAATGCCAGAAGGGAGCAGCAGTGGAGCTTAAAAATGTAAGTGTTTTTGAAAGTTCCTAGTTCTTGGGGTTTTCCTTGAAGCCACTGAGGTAGGATATTATTTTTGCAGTTTTCGCCAACAGTGGCCCAAATCAGATAGCAGTTTCTCTCCTCTGTAACAGTCTGAGTGTAAGCTGTGCAGAGTTGATAGGATGGTTCTATAATACTCAGCCATCATTAATGCAAGCATATCACTTTGTGGTCCAAGATGGCTGCCCAAGCTCCTGCCATCACATCTGCATCCCAGATGCTGGAAAGGGAGAAGAGGAAGTGAAAGACATAGTTTTCTTCTCTTTAAGAGTATGACTGAGTACTACTTCTGGTTACACCTCATTGGCCAGAAATTAGCCACATGGTCATGGCTAGCTGCAAGGGAGGCTGAGAAGAGAGGATATTTGTCTATCTAAAAGTTGGGAATTCTTTTACTAAAAGAAGAGGGGGAGATTATGTGGAATCTTACTACCAATAAAGTTGTTGGTCCTGCATCCAACTGATATGGAATGGGTGATACACAGCCAGGCCACGCAAAGAGGAATTTGGATATTTTAATTATATAAAAGCTCCATGGACATCTTTAGGAATTAATGTCACTCTTCTAAATATGAGCATGTAAATTAGCTCTGTAATTCCCCCACACCTTGGACTACTGTTTTTCTTTTTACTTGTGCTAAAATAAACACAACATAAAATTAGCCAGTTTAACCATTTTAAAGTATACAATTCGGTGACATTAGGCCATTCACAATGTTATGCAACCAAAACCACTTTCTAGTTCCAGAGACACTTTCATCACCGCAGTAAGAAACCCCTTCCCCATTATGCAAGCACTCACCATTTCCTCCCCCCAGTCGCTGGCAAACTCTAACCCACTTTCTGTTTTCATGAATTTGTGTATCTAGACATCTCACGTAAATGGAATCATTCAATATTTGTTCACTTAGCATGATGCTTTCAAGGTTCACCCATGTTGTAACATGTATTAGAACTTTGTTCCTTTTTAGGGCTGAGTAATATTCCATTTGGTCGACTGCTCATTTACACATTTCCCCATCGTTTTACTTCACTAAATAGTTTTGCTACTTGTTTACATTTGCCTCTTTTATTAATGGAAGAGAAAGGTGATTCTAATTCTGACTAAAAATGAGTTTTTATTTCCCTGAGAATTCCAGAGACTTAGGAATTCAGGATCATCCTGGATGGTGGGCTCGACGGCCCACTTTGTAGAGGACATGCTTGGGGGATAAACTGATCCATGCCAACAGTGTTCTTTCTCCTGTGGCACAGGTGCCCTTCTGTGGACTAATTAATGCCACCTTTGGTGTTCTTGATGATACCTGTGAAAACAAAACCAGCAGAGTTTCCCTGGAGGTAAGAAAGTCTTTGTAATTATGTTTCAAGTTTCAAACATCTTAGGCACACTTTGGGTGCAGAAAGTCGTCTTTGTAATTAACATGTTGTAAGTTAATATTTAATTTATTACAGCTGTAAGAGTTTACAAATTAATATGTTGTTTAATTTCCTTTTTTTTTTTTTTTTTTTTGGTGTGTGTGTGTAGTTCTGTAAGTGGCATCCATGGAATAGATTTGTGGAACTAAATCACTATCAGGATGCAGAACAGTTTCATTACCTTGAAAAATTTCCTCAGCTTTCCCTTAGAGTCAGATACTCTCTCCAACACTAACCCGTATAGATCCCAGATCTTTCATTATGTGGCCTTTTGAAATTGGCTTCTTTCACTCAGCATGGTGCATTGGAGATTCATCGATGTGTTTAGCAATAGTTCCATTCCTTCTTTTTTTTATTAGTGACATTTAGTACATTCACAATGCTGTGCAACCATCACCACTATCAAGTTCTGAAACACGTACATCACCCCAAAAGGATACTCTGTAGACATTTCCCATTCTCCCTACCCCAAGATGCTGGCACCACAAGTCTTCTTTCTGTCTCTATGAATCTGACTACTCTAGGGGCCTCATAGAAGTGGAATCACACAGTGTTTTTCCTTGTGTGTCTGGCTTCTTTCACTGAGCATAAAGTTTTCAAAGCTTATTCATGTCGTAGCATGGATTAGTGCTTCATTAATTTTTCATTGCTGAGTAATATCCCATTTTATGGATGTACCACAGTTTGCTTATCCATTTACCTTTAGAGGACTTATAGGTTGTTTTCAGCTTTTGGCAATTATCAATAGAGCTGCTATAAACATTCCATTTTTTGTGAGTGAACATGGATTTGGATTTCTCCAAGGTTGCTAGGTCATTACAGTTGCAGATATTAAAATCTAGTTTTCCTTAAGTCTTTAAATTGGAGTACAGATGTTGTTGTTTTATTTATAAATCTGGTTATTTTTGCATGAAAGTAAAATAACACTTGCATTTGTAATTCAATTAATTTTAAATTAATTTAATATATTTTTTCATTAAATGTAAATTCATGCATAGGGGTTTCAAATTAAGTTTCCATAAGTGGTTTACCCTGTTTATAAAGTTAGTTAAATTTTCTCAAATGTTTTATATTATGTTTCAAATATTCTAATTTACCCCCAAATTTCAAATACCTAATAAAGAATATTTACAAATTCTAACAGGCAAGGTCAGTAGGCCCTTGAATTACTCATAAATCCAGTCAATCGAACCTATAAATATGATAACATCCAATACAGTTTATAAACAGTCACATTCTTTTAAATTGTTCACATTAAAATCACAAGTCTAGTTGGTTTTTTGCAATGAAATCATGTGGTTAGTTGGTTAGCTCCTCTAATGTGTCAATTGTCCCAAAGCCTTTAAATAAATGAAGGTTTCCAGATTATGATAAAGATCTCAACCCTTCTAACTTTAACATAAAAGTATTGCCCTTAAGGGTTTTCAGTTTGCCTAAATTTTTTTTACTTTCCTGAAGATATAAAATAAACTTCCCAGCTAAGAATAATAGATTTAACATTTCAGAGGGATAGTTAAGGAGATTTCATCAGCCATAGAATCAAATGCCACATTTTACCAGATGCTTTTAGTTGAGATTTTTCTTGCTATTTAGGTTAGCAGGGAGGCACCCCAAACCATCCCTTTCATGAGTACAGAAGTCAGGGCATCCTGTTTCTCATGGACAAAGATCTCTCGAATTTCACCCTTATCCCATTTTTATTGAAATCTTTTTGTCATTTTATCATTTAATTTGGATAGATAAAAATTTGTATTCCTGGTCAGATTTTAGTTTAATTTCCTTCGCCATCTGACTGGATTTAATTCTTATCTTTCCTGCATTTATTAGGTTCTGAATTCTTTTCATATTTGTTTGTTTGTTTGTTTGGGTCAGAGTCACATGTTATAGTCAATTTATTGACAATCAATAAGGGGAATAATATCAACATTATTATTATTATTATTGTTGTTGTTGTTATTACCTTAACCCTATTCCCCACACATAATCATGTGAACAGTTAGATGTATATCTGTCCATATCTTTTTACCTTGTGAGTGTGTGTACACACACACAGGAGTCATTTATCAAACACTTACTGTGAGAGGTTTAGAGCAGTGATTAATGATTCAGCCTCTGGTGCCAGACTGCCAAGGTTTAAATCTTGGTTTTTCCACCTGCTAGATATGGGTTCTTGTTTCCCCATCTAAAATCAGAAATAAAAGCCTCTACTTAATAGATATCTTCCTCAAAGTAGACAAGTTATTTAAAACAATACCTGGTTCATACAAGTGTGCATTATTTTGGTTTCTATGTGCTAGAAACACAAATACCATAAACACAAATGTATAAATTAAAGTACTCATATCTGAACCAATGAGATTATTCTGCACTTTGTGTTACTTAACAATAGCTCATGGACCTTTTTGATTGATAATGCATAATAGGTATACTACAGTATTTTTTTTAACAGCTGCATACTATCCCATTATTTGATTTCATTTTCATTTATTTAACCAATCTGTTGGGCACTTAGGCTTTCCACAAACCACCCTGAAATAAACTTGAATGGACAAGATCCTGGCACATTTTTTAAGTATATCTGGAAAGACTAATTCCTGGAAGGGAAATTTCTGGGTCAAAGGGTATGCACAATTTATGCTGTTATAGGTGGTATCTTTTTGCATTTCATAAAGTCTACACCAATTTGTATTCCTCCTGAATACTGAGCCCTCTTAAATTAGGAAAAGAAGCCTGAGCGTATGTCTCCCCCACTTCTCCCCCACCCCTTTATTTTTTGGTGGCTGGCTGCTTTGGGGATCTGAACCCTTGATCTTGGGATATAACACCATGCTGTACCCAACTGAGCTAACTGACCAGCCCTAGATGCCCCTTTTTAATTCTCTTTTGTCCTTGGTGCCCAACCTACTTTCTTAACAACAGAGAGAACAGCTGTTTCATTAATGAGAGACAGAGAACAAACATATCTTTCCTTGCAGAGTACAGCTAAGACCTTTGTCTCTGTGCTTCAACAAGCACCCACCTGGTCCACATTCACCAAGGAGGAGACGTCCACCCTGGCCACCGTCGTACTGGAGACTGTGGAAAGCGTCACGCTGGCAGCTTTTCTGAAACCTTCAGAAAATGCCAGTCAGACTATTCAGACGGAATACATTGGTAGGATATGCCCTTCATGGCAAGATCACTCCTGGGTGCTAACATTGAGGGGTGACTAACAATGGGATTCTTCGTGGCATTTGCACCCAGATTTTCCCCAACTCTTTGAAAACCCTGAACTCACAGCAAAGTAAGTCTAATCATATTAACCACATTTCTCATTTACTGAGTGTTGAGCAAGGGCTAGGCATTGTGCTCAGAATATGTCATTAATCCATTCAACAAATATTTGTTGGTTGCCTTCTACATGCTGAGTTAATTTATGAAAGTCATTTTTTGTGTTCAAATATTTTCAACTCTCCCTGTTGGGCCCATCATAGAATTGTACTTCCTGGTTACTGGGAGGTTAGGTAGGATTATGTGACTTGTTCAGGCCAGTGAATTTGGAGAATAGAATAGTTGCTGTATGAGACCTTCCAAAACTTTCTATCCTTCTGCCATAGTGACTGAAAGTGTTTCAGATCTCAGCTTCTCCATCTGCCTGTGTCTTAGAGTAAGGATAACACAGAGCAGGAGCCCAAGCTGACTTATGATGAACACAAAACATTAATGAGAAATAAATAATTGTTATTTTTAATCTACTAAGACTTGGGGTTGCTTGTTCCTGCTGCATGACTGATTCTTTCCTGACTGATACATGCTTGATGGATGACTGCTTGGGAATATTGTGTGTTTTAGATCTTTTATAATAGCACCCCACTCCTGGTAGTAGTTCCTGTATCAGTCACATAAACCTAGGAAGTTTCATTCTATGTGAAACTAAGTGGATTCCGCAAAGGCCAAGAGGTGGAAATAAAATATTTGGTGGACTCTCACCAGTAGTGAACAAAACTGGCCTCATGAATCTCATATTTTACTGAGTTGAGTCAGACAATAAACAAACAGACATCTGGTATACCACATAGAGCTAGTGCTATTGAGAAAAATACCACAGGCTAAGGAGCTCAGAGAAAGTGAGAATTAGAGGGAGAGTTGATATTTTATATACTACGGTCAGGGGAAGTCTCACTGGGGCAGGGACCTCAGGGAAGGGAGCCGCATAACCTGGCTAGTCCAAGGAGCAACGAGGCAGCCAGTGTGGCTGAAGTGGAGTAGAGGGTGGTGAGAGCAGTAGGAGAAAGGGTCAGAAAAGAAAGGGGGAGGCAGATTTTGTAGATAAATATAGAGACTAAGGATTTTATCTGAAGTAAGGTGTGGAGGGGAGGCATTGGAGAATTTGAGAAGAGGCGTGACGTAATCTAGTGTATATTTTAAAAGGATACTTATGGTTCTATTATCTATTTTATTTTCATGAAGAGCCAATGAGAAAGGCCTGCAATTACTGCCATGTTACAGATGAGAAATAGGAGTCTAAGAGAGGTTAAGTCATTGCTCAAATTTATATAGCTAGTGAGTGGCAAAACTGGATCTCCTAGTTAGCTCCGTCTGACTGCAGAAGCTGAGTCCTTGTCCAGTCCCGTCCTGTTTCCTTTGGTCTTGGAAAACTTTTCTAAAGTTGGAGTAGCCAGAAGATCACAGCGCTGTTGCCTTTTATCACTGTGACTACAACTATATCTTTCCATGATGCACCCCCCAGGTACATCACTTCTGAAGTTCCAGCTGGGTTTCTCATTTGTTTAGTGCTACCCCGTCTCTATCGTTCATCAAGGGGTTCAAGATCTTTCCCATAATGAATTTGCCTTTCCATTCTTTCCTTTGCCTGAATTTAGTTTCTTGGACAGAAACTAAATTCAAGACCCACTTTCCGGGTGACCTCATGCAAACCCTTTCTTTCTCATTTTAGATATTGAGAGGAAAGTTATCAATGAAGAATGCGTTGAAGAGAATATGACCTTTACCTTGAAAGCCAAAGGGGATGTGATGAAGATTAAATGTTCCACAATTAAAGAGTCTGAATCCACAGGTACAGACTCACTCTTGAGAATCTAAGTGATGGTATATTCAATCAGCAAATATTTATTGATTACTTCCTAGGTGACATGACCATTGCCAGGTGGTTGAGAATCAATGATGACAGAGACAAAAATGGTCCATTTCCTCAAAGTTTTACATCTACTAAGGAAGTCAAACATTAAATAAATAATCTCACAATACTCGAGTAATAGGACCCACACTGTCCAATACGGTAGCCAATGGTCACATTTGGCTATTAAGCATGTGAAATGTGACTAGGCCAAATTGAGATGTGCTGTAAATGTCAAATACATGCTGTATTTCAAAGGTTTTACAAATAAAAAGAAGGATTAAAATATCTTACTAGCAATTATTTATATTTAAAAATACTTAAAAAATATAAAATATTTTTCAAATGTATATTTCTAAATATATTTTATATTTTAAAAGTTCAAATTTGCATATTGAAATAATATTTGCTTATATTGAGTTAAGATATTGTTAAAATTAATTTTACCTTTTACTTTTTAAAAATGTGACTACTAGAAAATTTAAAATTACATTCATGGCTCATGCTATGTTTTTGCTGGACAGTGTTAATCTGTGTCAGGGATTGGTAAAATTTTCCTGTAGAGGGCTGGGTAGTAAATATTTTAGGCGTTTCCAGCAATACCATCTCTGTGACAACAACTTCACTCTACCGCTAAAGTGCAAACGCATTCACAGACAGTAAGTATATTAATGCACACAGATGTGTTGCAATAAAACTTTATTTGCAAAAGACAGGCAATGGACAGATTGGCCAACAGATAATAGTTTGCTATACCTTGAAGTATATGATTAATGTTATGATTAATACTTCAATGAAACAGCACAGGGTGCAATGTGGAAAAGATAGTTAAGCTAATTCCTGAGGAATGGGTGGAGAAAGCCAGAGAGAATGTTGCTGGCATTCTGAGCAATAGCTCTGGGTTGAGGAAAAGCTTGGTTTGTTTATGGAGGGAGGCTGGAGCACCATGAATGTGGGGGGAAAAGGTACTGAGAGTGCTGAATTCCAGTCTAGTGTTTTTAGACTTTCTCCTGAGGGCATAGAAACCTTCGGAAGTT